CTTTTTTTCCTATAATTGATCACTTGATGATGTCCCTTCTCCAGTTGTCTACGTGCTTTCTTCCAAGGATAGCTTATGAAATTGATTGTTTAGCTCCAACTAAAATTTAATATTTATAGAAAATATAATATAATCATATAAAGTTTAGAAATTTTATAAATGTGATATTTATAAAAAGTTTATAATTGGGAAAACTAACAAATTTTAAAAATTAGAAAATTCAAAAATCTAACCCTTTTTTATGAAATTCAAAAACTTTTTCTTTCTTTAAGTTGAATGAAAATTAGTTTATGGAGGATTTCAACCTTTTGTGTTAATGGTGTGGTCATACTTATTTTCAGGTTTTTCTGTGTTCTCCTGCACCTTCAGGTGCTTACCTCCAGTTGCTCATTTCCATTTGAGCTGCTCCGGGTGCTCTCACTCCAGGTGCTCACCTCAACTTTTGGGTTGCTTCATGCTGTCCTTGTTCTGCTGCTGATTCGGGTGCTTTCACTGTCCCACTCAGATCTCAGATTCTTGCCACTCGTGTCTATCCTGTCCATGTTTGTGGGACACTTGACTTCTCACAACTTGTCCCTCTCACTACTTGCCTTCCCCTCTCCCTCAGTTTTCTCATCTTTCCCTCCTCTCCTTCTGCTTTCTCTTACTCTCTTCCACTCCTTCTATTCCTTCTTTACTTAAGTTGGATATCCTTTCCCCCCGTGATTCAGTTCTGACTCCACTACTGTTACTGTCTTTGAAGGAACAGAACTCAATGATGGCAGAATTGCCTTTTAGAATTGGCAGAATTGCCAATTGCCAAGTGTCATTTAGCTACATGGATCAAGACCCTGCAGAATATTTGACCTGTGGGCTGCAAAGCTCTAGACGAAATGAAGGAAGTGTATAAAAAAACAAGCTGACAAGAGGACACCTCAGAAGGAGTAGGAGATAAAGTTTACATCTCTACTAGGTTTCTGCAGTCATGACATCCCTGCAGAAAATTAGGTCCAAAATACATAGGGCCTTTCCACATCACCAAGGTCATAAACCCAGTGATGATTGAGTTATAACTGTCAAAAACACAGAGTCCATCCTGTGTTTCACTGTAGTCTATTGAAGCCAGTCTCTGATTCACCTTTGCAGCCCAACTCAAAGCCACCTCCTCCAATTATGATAGAAGGGGAACAATAGTTTGAGATTAAAAGAATCTTAGAGTCTTAGGGGAGATTGCAGTACCTTATTCTGTGGAAAGATTTCCCTCCCTCAGAGACTGAGTTGGTTTAGGTTAGACATGTTTGCTGTTTAACCTGCCAGTTTTGTGTCAAATATCCCAATAAACTTAAACCTGGTAATCTATGTTGTAACTACTATGTTTTCTATTTTTTCTTTTATAGACATAGTCTTTTTTTCTGGAGAGCAGCGTGTCATAGCTGTCATTCTACTGCTAGGGAGGTTGGGTTTGAAGCAGAGCCAGCCCCAATTGTGAGGAGCACTAATCAAGCACAAGGTCAGCAAAAAGATGGTAGAGATATGAATGCAGAGAAAAACAAATATTTTTCATGCCCTTATTTGGCTCATTTCCTTTTGCCCTTGATCTTTAACTTTCATCACTATTGTTTCTGAGGCTGCAAAGCTAGAAATGTAACTTTCTTACAGTGGAAAATGTGCAGATTTAAGATTTAAAAGAGCCAATGGACATCACTCTTCACATCCTAGGATGCTGACATGTTCCCCGTTATCTTTTGCCAACTGAATTCAATGTCTAATAAATGGGAGAGATCAGTAGGAAAATCTAAAATAGTAAATAATCCACGATTATATTTAGCATGAACTTGAATGATGTAAATGAAAATTATTGACTCATCAGATCTTTTCTAAATCCTGAACAAAAGATGTCTCTCTTCCTTAGGTGTGGACTGAAGCAATTTCCCCCAAATGTTATGTATTCTTTAATTACTTCTACATATCAGCAATTTGTACATAAAAATGGGATGCTAAAGGCACATTTGGACATCAACTGTTCAAAATCTATTTAAATCCTACTTGTGCAAAGGCTAGGAAAAGAAATTACAGGTGTCCTAGTTGATTCTGTGTGGACTGATTAAAGCCAAACATCTGTATCATTGAACAACCCATTAATTAAGCTATATTATAAAGGTGACAAGCACATTAACACCACTTTGAGAGTGCAGTAGGTATCTCCTACAAAATGACTGTTATGATAAACAAGGGATGGCTAATATATCAAATGAAAGATCATGTGGTTAAAGTTCTCTTGAAAAAAACTGAATCTGATCAGGTGGCATTATCTGGGTGTAGACCATAGCACATCCACAGCAATGAGTTGGTCATCACTGTTAAGCTTCAAATGTCAGCAAAGGTTCCTCGCTATGAATTTACAGCCTAGAGAGGGGAAAGACTACCTACTATGTCCTCATGGTCCATTCCATCCATGAACACATCACCCAAACAGGTGTGACTCTTAGATCACCCAACTAAAAATAAAAAGCCATCTTACACAAAGCACCAACCAAGTTCTGTCCTTATCAACCCAACACTACAGATACAAAGATGAGGTTTTATTAGAATGTCTTTTGTTAAGTACATCATCTGCATCTTATCCTTTTGAGATGGAAATGCAATGGAAAACCGAAAATGTAAAGAAAAGCTGCCAATGCCATGTCTAAGGGAACCAGAGTGCAACTTGTATCATATTTCCAATAACCTCATAGTTTATGATAAGTGATGGATGAAGACAGCATAGATGGTTGCTGGCAGAACTAATGCCTGTTTCCAGATGGCCACTAACACCAGCCACTTGTATTGCTTTATCAGGTAAAACTAAAAAATAAATTGAAATAATTTTTGAGCACTTTCAAATATAATCACCCAATATTAGTAGTACACTCTAGAAAGTGTACTAGATAGGATAAGTTTTAGATAAGAACTTGATCCCTCAGTTTGGGAGAAACACATTAAGTCTGACACAACCACATACATGAATCACAAGTTCTTTAGGTGAAGTAAAAGTTATTTATTAAGGGAAGGGTCAAGTCTTTATGTAGGATACAGAAACAAATGATACATTGGTATATTTGGGAGAAATTAAGAAGACATTGCTTGATCTTTCTCAGTTGAGTTTCTTACTTAATGCTTGCAAGTGTATTCAAAGACTTCTAGAATTTCCCAGTATTGTTTCTGAACAGGGTAATTTTTGCATGTTAAAATTTTTAAATATGGCATTTTTTAAAGACAAAACATGGGTTCCCTAAATTTCAAAAGGAGACATGGATACCATACCAAATCCAATCAGAATAGAGCTAGAATAGAGTCTTAGAGGTCTTGTAATCCAACCCCCTGCTTAAGAGGAGACCCCATATAATTTGAGACAAGTGGCTATCCAGTCTCTTCTTAAAAACCTCCAGCGATGGAGCACCAACCATTTCTGAAGGCAAGTTATTCTACTGGCTAATTGTCCTCATTGTTAGGAAGTTTCTCCTTAATTCCAAGTTGCTTCTCTCCTTGAGTAATTTCCATCCATTGTTTCTTGTCTTGCCTTCTGATGCTTTGGAAAATAGGTTGATCCCCTCTTCTTTGTTGAAGCCCCTCAAATACTGGAATACTGTTATCAGGCTATCAGATCATCTTTTCTCTACACTAGCCATACCTAATTCCTTCATTCTTCATGTTTTTGTTCTGAGGCCCTTAATCATTGAAGTGCTCTTCTTTGCACTTTTTCCAAAATCTCAACATCTTTTTTGTAATGTGGTGACCAAATCTGGATGCAGTATTCCAGGAATGGTCTTACTAAGGATTCATAAAGTGATACTAATATGTCACAATTTGATTTTATGCCTCTGTTTATGCAACCCAGGATTGAATTGGCTTTTTTGGTGGTGGCAGCACACTGCTGGCTCATGTTTCAGTGATTGTCCACTAGGACTCCAAGGTTCCTCTCAGTTACTATTTTTGAGCCAGGTTCCACCTAATCTGTATTTGTACCTTTGTCTTTTCCTGTCTAGGTGTAAAACCTTCCTTTTCTCCATATTAAATTTCATGTTTTGGATAATGTCCATTCTTCAAGTCTGTCAATATCTTTTTAGATCCTGAATTTGTCTTCTGGGGTATTGGCTATTCCTGATAGCTTAATGTCATCTGCAAATTTGATGAGTTCCCCTCATCCAAGTCATTTAGGAAGATATTGAAGAATACTGGGCTTAAGACGGAACCTTGTGGTACCCACCACTTACTTCCCTCCATGTAGATGTAGTATCATTAAGGACTATTCATTGAGTATGGTTTCTCAACCAGTTACAAATCCATCTGGTGGTGATGCTTTCTACCCCACATTTTTTAATTTACCAAGGTCGTGGTCTACTTTGACAAATGCCTTACTGAAGTCTAAGTATACCATGTTCACAGCATTTCGCTGATCCACTAATTTAGTCACCATTTCAAAGAATGAAATAAGATTGGTTTGGCATGATTTATTTTTTAACAAACCCATGCTGGCTACTAATTATAACTTTGTTTCTAGATGTTCACATACCTGTTTTTTATTATTTTTTTCAGCATCTTCCCAGGTATTGATGTTAGGCTGATTGATCCTTAGTTTTCTGGGTGTTTCCCCCCACCCATCCCCCCCTCTTTTGAAGATGGGAACCACATCAGCTCTTTTCCAATCATCTAGCAGTGCTCCAGTGCTCCAGGATTTTTTAAAATCCTGGATACAATACAATACAATGGTTCTGAAATAACATCTACCAGAACTTCAGAATTCTGGGATGTAATCCATCGGGTCCCAATTATTTATATTTGTCAAGATCAGACAGGTGTTCTTTTATCATTTTCTTGCTTATTACAATTTTTATTTCTAGTCTGTCTTTTACAGTTACGTTTTGGTTGGTTTGATTAGTTTTTTTTGTGTGAAGACTGATGCAAACAATGAGTTAAACAGTTCTGTTTTCTCTGTGTTACTTCCTTGCCATCTTTATTCTTTAGTGGACTGTTTCCTTGACTTTTTTCTTGTTATTTATATGTTGAAACATTTTTTAAAAAAAATCTTTTGACTTTTACTGCAAGTCTGAGCCTTTGTTGCATTCTGAGCCTTGCTTTCCTGACTTCATCTTTGCAAATTCAACTATCTGCTGATATTCTGCCTTAGGTATGTGTCCCTCTTTCCAGTTTTTGTACTTATCCTTTTTGTCTTTCAGTTTATCATAGATCTTTGTGCATGCTGGTTTCTTCTTGGATTTTTTTTCTTTTTCAGATGTATTGTGTTGGATTGGGTTTTTATGATCATATTTTTCAGAGTTTGTCATGTTTCTTGATTTGTTTTCTGCTTTAGAACTTTTATCTATGGAATTTTTCTAAGGGTCTCTCCAAGTTAATATCTCAGAGTTTGTTAAAAAAATAAAAACAAATGCCATATTTATTAAAGAGCTAATAATGAAGCCTAAAATTCCAGGTATAATGCCACTAGGGGGCCAGAAGCAGTAGATCTATCTCGATCCTAAAATCCTCAGTCAGGCCTAGATAGGCATTTTTGCTCAGGTAGGTTAACCTCTTGAGATCATTACAGACTTGCCATACATTTCATGTCTGCGCTAATAGAAATCCTTTGGGCTGCATATTATGTAGAACATCTCATTTCTGTACCTTATCATCATCAGTCAAATGGAGGCAGTAATTAAGATGATGGACAATGACTGGGGAGATCTAGGTACAGTCTACCTGTCAACTGCCCACTTGATGAATCCAGAAAAAGAAACTAGTGGGACATTATTTTAACAAGAATATAAACTTTAATGAATAAATCCACATTGGCAGAGAAGAAGTGAAACCAGTTCTGGCTTTCCGCACAAAATATGCATAATTCATTCCCAGTAATGGGGCACCCACAATCCATTATGTCCACCAATCACTTCTATTCATTTTGTTATAAGAACCACCAGCCACACTGTGGCATCTCCTCTGGGTGCCCTTGAGGGGGGAGAGCAACGTCTCATGGGAACAGAGGATGCTTGGATGCCATTCCCCCAACCCTTGCATTCTAGTTTACCACTATCCTATTCTTTGACAAGCTGCGAGCAAAGTGGAAAATACGTGAAATTTTGAGTCAGTCTTGCCACTACCCTGAGTTGTGTTAATCTCTCTCAGTTCAATCTAACTCAGAAGTTTGTTGATTGGGGAAAAATTGGAGAATGAAGTGCTAAATATACAACCTTGAATTTCTGGAGAAATGTAGGATATAGATTCTAAGAGTAGCGATCTGTATTACCCAGGAATTCTAGACAAATAACGTTTGAAATTCATAATACTATCATTCTTGGAAATGTTTAAATTGTCTTTTATTACAGTACATGCTGTATATCTACAAGCCTTAGATTTTGGTAATGTGAAGAATAACACGGGCATCGTCCCAATAGTTTATCTGCCAAAAGCGTTCTAGAATAAGGGTTGCATTTTATTTACAATGTCCCTTTTATCCATTTTTTTATATAACAAACCAAATGTATACAATTTGTAGTGTTGTTCATTCAAAGTGCTCTCTTCAGTTGTTTGCTGGTGAAAAACCTGTAATCACTGTTTTAAAAAATCCATATACAGGTAGTTCTTGATTTACAACAGTTCATTTAGTGACTGCTCAAAGTTACGATGGCACTGTCAGATCTGCTATCTTCAGTTTAGCACTTTGCTGACAACCTGTCATAAATTGTCAGGGCCGGGGAGAGGGGAGTGGGAGGAGAAGGAAGTAGGCAATTGGCATGTAGAAGGTAGAGATGAGCAAAGGGGAAGGAATGATAGGCTTGATGGAAACCAGAGGTGTGAGAATTGGTCTATTCCAATTGGAGTGGAGCCTGAGAAAAGAATGTGAACTGCATCACATGGCACCATTTGATAAAGACAGGTCAAGGGGGGGAGGGATGGTAAGAAGGGGAAGTACTGTAATGCTTTGCATGAGAATTTCATTTCTAGGCTTGCTTTTGCTGAAACCACTAACTCTTAATTACTTCAACCAAAAGGAGTTGAGGATCTTTCTTTCCTAGGGACCTAGTTGAGACATATCTTACAGGCACTGAAAAAAGTGACATGACCATTCTTCATAGTTACAACTCTTGTAGTATCCCCTTGATCATGTGATCATTCAGATGATTGGCAACTGGTTCAGACTTACGACTGTTGCAGGTCTCAAGGCAATATGATTCACTTAACAACTGAGTTACTAACTTATCATTTGCAGTGGCAAAGGTCATAAAATGGGGCAAAAGTCAATAAATGTGTCACTTAAAAACATAATTTTTGGGTTCAATTGTGGTCATAAGTTGAGGACTACCTGTACAGTTGTTGCATTTGTCTACATTAAAAAAAATTAAGGTGAACAAGTTTTCTCCCAAGAAATAATTGACTATCTACCAAATACTTGATGCATAATGTTTCTCAAAGGGAAGATTTGTATCCTGAAACAGAATGTTTAACAAACTTTTTATCTTTCTTGTGTGAAAAACAAATGCTTTCCTTTTAACCCTGTGATCTTTTAACCCCTGTGATCTTATTCTTAAATAGAATAAGATTCTGAACACCAAGTCATTCTGGGCTTTAAATTATATATACTATCCTAGATACATTAGAATGCATCCATCAGTCAATGCAAAAATTCTGTCTTAGACTTCAACATCTTCGTAAATTATTTAGATAAAGGGATAGAAGATAATTCATCAAATTTGCAGACTATATCAAGCAGGGAGGGAATAGCCAATGCTTTGGAAGGCAGACCCCAGGGACAGAAGGATCTTGACAGACATGAATGCTGGGTCTTATCTAACAAAATGCAATTCAAGATTGCATCAACAGAGAGATTGTCTCAAGATCACGTGAAGTGATATAACACATACTTGAAATACAGCTTCCAGTTCTGATCACCATGGTATAAAGATATTGAGACAGTGCAGACAACAACAAACATGATAAAGGGTCTAGAGGATAAATTGTACAATGAACAGTTGTGGGAACTACGTGTGTCTAGCCTAACAAAAAGAAGGACTAGGGATAACTTGACATCAGACTTATAATATTTGAGGAGCTGTCACAGAAAAGAGGGAATTGACATAATCTCGAAAGCATCTGAGGATAGGACAAGAAATGCCAGATGGAAGATTATTAAAGAAAGATCTAATCTAGAATTAAGGAGAAATTTTCTGACAATGAGACCAATTAATGGAACCTTCCCTCCAGAAGTTGTTGGTGTTCCATCCCTGGAGGTCTTCAAACATAGACTCAAACAGGGGCTTTCACCAGAAAACTCTGAATTCCTTTTCCAACCCTATTCTATGTTCTATAGTTCATTTGCGCATGTAAAAGTCTCACAGTTGTTGAAATATATAGAAAAAAAAATACTTTGGCCTTGGTAGAGTTAGGATACGTGGAACTGAAAACTTGCAATTCAGATAAGTAAGTTTTAAAAATTTCATTTAGCAGTATTATTGCTAAGCACATGGATGATGTACATGATGAGAAAGTATAACTGCTTGCATAAACAAGATCTAATAGATGTATTGCTTCAGTTTTCCTTTTTCAGCCACAAATTAGATTTCTGCTCTTAAATGTCCTTAAGTTTGCAGGTTTAAGCTATTTCCATACTCAAAGAGAAAATAAAATAGAACTCTATTTGGAAGTAAAGAATGCCACTTAAATAAGTGATTCAAAGAGAAAAAGTTGGGAACAGAATTGAATTCCTAATTAACAAGTGCAATGCAGAAACAAGAGATGGTTTAGGAATTGACACTGTTAGTACTGCCTGAAATTTCTTAATGTAAGATGATAAATACTATTCTCAATGTATTTTATTGCATTAAGATTAATGGTGGGTTTCCCCCCCCTAGAAATTAATATCCAGTCATTATTGGATCCACCCAAATTCTGAGTGAAATCAATTAAGACACAATGGAAGGAGATTGGCAGACTATTTTTTTTTCTGTACAGGTGGTCTTCATTTAACAATCACTCACTTGGCAACCATTCAAATTTAAAAACAGCGCTAAACAAGTGGTAATTACACTGATCCTAGTTACACCCATGACAGTATCTCTACAATCAAATGATTGTGATTTGTGACCTTTCCTGTCAGGTTCCACCAAGCAATGTCAGTGGGGAACTGGCATCAAATGCAATCACAAGGCCTTCACTTTATGACCCATGTAGTCACTATCATTAGTTGGTGTAGTCAAATGGTTTTTCGATCAAGCTGATTAACTACAGAGTTTCCAGTCCCAATTATCATTCTTAAAATCAAGGACTAGTTTGTTCAGCATTTGAAACAATTTAAAGTAATTTAAAGCAATTTAAAGTAATATATTACAGTACTTAGGATTTCTGAAATTTACCATTAACATGATAATTGGGAAGAGGGAGGAGATGCATTTATTTATATCAATATATCCTAAATAAATCAGTTCTACTATATAGAGTTTTAATTAAATCAAGACTACTACTCTCCTGTGAAATTTCGAAGAATAAAATTTGTTTCAATAAGTTTTCTGTTTTGTGGTCTAACACAGAGGAAGTAAATAGTTGTTTGCCATACCAAAGATATGCAGAAACTCCATGCAGTTAGTAAATTAGACTTGCTTGAAATGCAGCCCTTATGTGGCTATGTACCATTCCAGAGTAGAGTAGATCTTAGTGCACATAGAACGGTAATATTTAGGCTAGTAGTATATCCTAAGCACAGTAACTACTGAAGGTAAAACTCCACTCAAAATTGCAACATGCTTAGTTATAAAACATTTCATACACAGAATGACTGCAGGCAAGTATTCATATCCAGCTATCTCCAAGCCAGGGAACAAAGGCAGAAAATCTTTTTATTACACCAAAATATAAGGAAAAGGAAGACATATTTAGCTTTAGTAATAAATCTCTTTGCTTACCCAGAATTAAAAAATCCCAGGAAGAAGAGTAACACTAATTTCTTTTTTTAAAATGATAAACGATACAAGCAGATGAAACCTAATCTAAAGGGGAGAAAAATACAAATTAGTTATCTTGACATCTGGCATGTTTAAGGTCATTATTTCTGTGAAGATACAGGATATATGCTTCATTTGTTCTTTTTGTTTTACATGTTAAAAAAAGACATGCAGTAGTGTGCAAATCTGAATAAGAATTCTACTGTTTGGCATTTAAAAATAACTTCCAGCAATAAAATATACATGATACAATGCAGAATCTAGTAGCTATAGCACCTTTTGCAATGAGTAACAGAATATTTAAGCAATGTATTTTTAAACTTATTGTGTTGTACAGAGGAAAGTAATCTACTTTTCTTGTACAGGTGGTCCTTGACCTACAACCATTTGTTTAGTGACTGGACAGCATCTCCATGAGACAAACTTTGGGCACTTGGCAATTGGCATGTATTTAAGACAGCTGCATTTTCTTGGGGTCATGTGATGACCATTTGTAACTTTCCAAAATGGCTTCCAACAATAAAAGTCAATGAGGAGGCAGATTCACTTAATGACTACAAGATTCACTTAACAACCCGCAGTGATTGTAAAAAAAGTAAAAAATGGGGAACAATTAATTTTATAACTGCCTTGCCTACCTACAGAAATTTTGGCTCAATTATAGTTGTAAGTCAATACTACCTGTATGCAAGTTCTATTCCTCAATGACACACAATATTTACTGTCATACAACAGTGAAAACCATAGAAAGATACTGTTCATAAGACACTTGTATCCAGCCATCCTGATCAGTATCATAGCGTCTGAAGACATCTGTCCATTTCTGGAAGAAAAAGGTTAATGTCAAATTGTCTGCAGATAAAATACCTGTGTTCCATACAACAACCATGAGACAGATGATACATAAACTGATATCTAAATTGGGGAGGGAAATATTTTTTCTACAGTTTTTGACAATGAAAGTACCAATCAGGATCCAGATAAAGGGCTGGCTGGACAAACTACAAAGTCAGTGGTCCACAACATAAAGCTGTGTTCAAATTCAAACTTATAATCTTGTTTTCATGTTGCATACTTGAAACAATTTGATCATCTGTCTTCATCTGGCCTCTCTATATCCCCAAGTCTATGATTACCTGCAGTACAACACAGCACTGAATGAAGTCATCAAAAGCCACTTGCCCTCTTCTTTGCCTATCAAATTTTTGAATCAAGAGATCGTAGAACTGGTCAGTCAGTCGGTATCCTTAATAGAATTGGAAATATTAATGAGCAAAATTTAAATATATTCTATAATTGCAGCCACCTACATAAAAGATATTCACGTAAGCAAATACCACCCTCCAAGAAGTTTCACGTATGAGAGAAGAATGGAACCAAAATGGTTTAATCAGATAATTTAGAACTGACACCTTTTTATTTTATGAAAAATCAGTCTATCCCATAAAGCATACTGTGATATGTCACAGATAAGACCCATGATGACCCAGTGGTTAGAATGCAGTATTGCAGACTAAGTCACTGCTTACTCCAGGAGTTCGATTCTCAGTGGTTCAAAGTTGACTCAGCTTTCCATCCTTCCGAGATCAGTAAAATGAGGACCCAAATTGTTGGGAGAAATATGCTGACTCTGTAAACTGCTTAACAAGAGCTTTAAAGCACTGTGAAGCAGTATATAAGTGCTACTGCTATTGTAACAAAAGTTATGGCTGAAAATATAAACAAGATTGTTTAATGGATTGGTAAAATTAAATAAAATTTAAATCTTGGTATACTATATGTTTTTAAATAGTGCTGTGCTGTTCAAATATCCAATCAGTTTTTTTAACAATTACTCATAAGAATGTGCAAGAATTAAAATAATACTTTATTTAAATAGAAAGAAATAACTTTGAGCATCAAATAGTATGTATTCAGGAAACCATTCTATTGTATCATGAAATACATTTTACAGAATCTGTATTATTAAGTTAGAAAGCTAAATGGAGTAAGATTTGCACCTAAGGGGAAATGCATTGAACAATGTCATCACACATGTTGCAGGGAGTTTACAGATTTCTGTAAGCTTATGTAATATATTGCTAAACATCTATGGAGATTCTCAGTCATCCAAGTCATGGTTGTCCCAAAGGAGCTTTTTCAAGAGGCAACTGTACTTTCTGGTTTTCTTCTAGGCCAGGCTGAAGAAGCTTCTTGGATGAGAAGCAAAACATCTTCAAAGAAAAACAAGAAAGTCCAATTGCCTCTTGAAAAAGCACCTTTGGGACCCTTACTTTACTGAAAATTATACTCAAATTTATTCCTTTTATCCCTCAGAGGAATGTAAACTCTTCACAGTGAGTGACTGGAAAATATTTACAGTCAAGACAATTTCATTCATATGAGAAGCAAACTCAAGCCGAGACACCTTACCAAAAAAAATTGGCTGTGAAGCGTGAGAGGCTATACTTCAGAAAAGATTCCATATACCCGGTCATACTATTCCACTGGATTAAAAGCAATTGTCTTTTAAATCTAGATATTTGGGCCTAAAATGTACTTTTAAAAATTGATATGCTTTTTCCTCTTCCTTACTTTCTGTTACACAGTATGTCATGTTTTTGAAATTATAAAGACACCTTTACAAGTTGTTTCAGATAACTCTCCCCCCCCCCCCCCCCCCCCGTATCTGTGTATCTATGTGTGTATATGTAAAATCTTCAAATATTTTATAAAATTAGTGGACAAGCATTCATATCCTTAACATTTTCTACAAAGTATCATTCACATTTGTAGTAATACTTTTAAAATGGATTTTGAATCCGATTCTAAATCCAAAATGAATGATACAGCAGGTTTCAACTAACAATGGTCAAAACATAGTTCATTTTTAAAACATTCCCCCTCAAATTTTCAATAAACTGACTTATCGTTAATTTAATATGTTCTATCTTATAAATTACACCATAGAGAAAACTTTTCCCCATAACTCTCTCTTAACTACAATACTGACTACTGAACTGTACTGAACTGTACTGAATCAGCAAAAGTTAAGGGCTACCAGAAATAACTGCCTAACTATTTTAACCTTAATTGAATAAACTATATCACTTCCCCATACATTTAATAATCTTACATTTTAATCCCTTCAAATAATATTTTTCAGCTTGGTTTGTAATTAGGGACAGATGGTCCTTCCAAAAACTCAGACCCATGTCACAGTGGGCTATAATACACAAAATTGGTGTCTTAATTTGCACTAGGACACAGACAGTGACAAATGCAACTGGCAGAGCAAAAGTATAACATGAATTGTACTAGAAACACTTAAAATTGCCCATGCTGCTGCATTTTTCACCAACTGAAATTTCTCGATACTCTTCAAGGACCCCATATTGTAACTATGACCCCACAATCACAAGTTTTTGTGAAATAAGTTCTAAATAACTTGTGACTCATGTACTATTAAATATATTGATTAAAAGCATTAATTGATTTAAAGGCCTAATGATAACCTATTCCAAGCTGGGTATCTTCCAGGTGTGTGGCATTCAACTCCTAGAATTCTTGTGTCAATTACTGAAAATTCTGAAAGTTGAAGTCTATACACCTGAAAAAGCTACATAAATCTATTTGCCAAATTACATATTTGTAATAATTACAATGAATTACCAAAACCTGTTAGGGCTTGCTTTAATTCATGTTTGTCAATCATTCCAGAGTTGTCTCTATCATATCTGCGAAAAACATTCTGCCAGTCAGAGATGTATTTCCAGACTCCTGTGAATTCATTGAAGTTTACACCACCTTTGTTTTCTCTGTCAAACATAGCTGAAAAAATAATCAATCTTAATTAATCTAAATATTAGATTAATCTAAATATTAATGTATTTGTAATTTACCATTACTTAACTTATTAAGTTTAAATTAAATTTAAATTAGGAGAAAGCAAAAGTAAATAAAGTATTTCAAAGAAAAAGTTAATTGTGCTGAAATTATTTCCCATTTTTATGTCAAAATAAAACTCCAAAAGCAGCTTCTATGCAGGGCAAAATATAGATTCCCTAGAACTCAAGAAAAAAAAAGTTTGGTTTTAACCATTTTAAAGAGCAATTCAATTAGGTCTTTCATTGTAAGGACCTCCATTAGCTACCATAGTTTTAAGAACAGATGAATGTAGGAGAAATGCACAGTAAACTATGAAACATTTTATATGCTACATCTTTTTCCTGAAATTGTAAGCATTGCTTATATCTTTTATGAAATACTGTAATGTAGCAGAATCTGCAGAGTATGTGTGTCAAAATTTGCAAGGATACATCCTGCCCCATTTTACATGTCACACTGGCAACACAGGTTGAAAACAAGTGACACTTGCACTGTCATCCTCCACATACAGTACCATCATGTTGATTTTGACAGATACATACCCTACAGATGCCATTGGCAATACTACTAATTGGATAGTGATATAAGTGGCAATATTTTACTTCAGCCAATCTATAGTGCAGCCTATCTGATAATTATGCAGAACCTTATTATGGAAGGGTGGGAAAATTTTACTAATTTTAATGGAGGGGGAAATCAAAGTTTCCATATATGCTCCCTTTAAAAGATATTCAAGCGGATGAATGATGAATGCATCAGTACGTGAAACAAGCTCCGTTCACCTTTTTTGTTTTTATTTAATAAAGCAGAACAAAGAAAAATAGATATGAAACAATAACAAAAGAAAAGAGAAAAGCAGTTGTTGTACACACACGTAAAAAGGGCAGAGATTCTATTGTGGCTGTATAATGCTGCTTTTGTTTTGATGAAAGGATTGGATCCTGCAGAGGCTCCTTTGTATCAATTAATACTCAATATTTCAAATATTCAGAATCATGAATTGGAAAAAGATGAATAAACCAAAGTTTCAAAAATGACTTTCTGACAAGGAGAGAAACATGTGATTGCACAAGTGACTATCTGAAGGATCCAAATACCAATTAATAAAGTTGCTATGATCTGTGGTTACAACAATAAACTTACAAATAGTCCTCAATTTACAGCCACAATGGAACCTGAAATTTTGATTGCAAGCCATTGCAATTTTAAGTTGAGTCATCACATGACCAAACTCAATGTTACACATTTTTATGATGATTTTAAAAACAAATCACTGTGGTCATAAAGTTAATCACATGATCATTAAGTGAACCATATTGTCATTAAGCAAATCCATTCTCCTGAATGGGGGTGACATACAAGTTGGTTGTCAAGGGCGAAAAATGCCAATTATAACTTTGAGGTAAGTAGTTTTTTTCAAGTCTATCATAACTTTAATCAACCATTAAACATCTAGTTGGAAGTATAAGACTATCTGTATTTATTTAATAAAGCTGAAAAGACTAGTATTCAGAAAAGTGCAACCTAAGTATAAAACAAATGAAGTTCAAATATTACTTACATAAAATAGATCTCACAGTTGCTGGATTAAATGGAGTCCATGTTCCTAAAAGAAAGAGAAAACATTACATGATACACATAGAAACAAGAACATTTCAAAGTGATAAATGTAGCAATTGAACAATTAAAGCTTATTAAAATAGTACTAATAAATCTTATCTGTAATTATGTTCACAAGTTATTTATTTACTTTTGCATAAATTATTTACTTTTTCATAAATTATCTTCACTTGCTAAGAAAACTGGCTATTTTACCACTGTTCAATATTTCATTAGTTTTGTCACCAATAAATATGAAATTATATGTATGTATGTATGTATGTATGTATGTATATATATTCCTATTATATATTAATTTTATATAAGTTGGGTGGATATGTGTGTGTTGTAATTAATTAGTTAGTTAATTAATATCTTTATAAAATCCTTTCTCCATTAAAACCCATTTTAATAGGTTATTTTCCAAAGTTTCTTTGCTTATTTTAGTTGTTCTTTCTTTTCTCTATAGAAAACAACAAATAAGCAAACAACTCCTTTCATTGTCTATTATCAGACAGAACAAAAGCAGTAATAGGTGAATTATACACTGCTCAAAAAAATAAAGGGAACATTTAAACAACACAATGTAACTCCAAGTCAATCACACTTCTGTGAAATCAAACTGTCCACTTAGATAGCAACACTGATTGACAATCAATTTCACATACTGTTGTGCAAATGGAATAGACAATAGGTGGAAAGCATAGGCAGTTAGCAAGACATCCCCAATAAAGGAGTGGTTCTGCAGGTGGTGACCACAGACCACTTCTCAGTTCCTATGCTTTCTGGCTGATGGTTTGGTCACTTTTGAATGCTGGCGGTGCTTTCACTCTAGTGGTAGCATGAGACGGAGTCTACAACCCACACAAGTGGCTCAAGTAGTGCAGCTCATCCAGGATGGCACATCAATGCGAGCTGTGGCAAGAAGATTTGCTGTGTTTGTCAGCATAGTGTCCAGAGCATGGAGGTGCTACCAGGAGACAGGCCAGTACATCAGGAGATGTGGAACAGGCCGTAGGAGGGCAACAACCCAGCATCAGAACCGCTACCTCCACCTTTGTGCAAGGAGGGACAGGAGGAGCACTGCCAGAGCCCTGCAAAATGACCTCCAGCGGGACACAAATGTGCATGTGGCTGCTCAAACGGTCAGAAACAGACTCCATGAGGGTGGTATGAGGGCCCGATGTCCACCCAGGTGGGGGTTGGGCTTATAGCCCAACACCGTGAAAGACATTTGGCATTTGCCAGAGAACACCAAGATTGGCAAATTCTCCACTGGCACCCTGTGCTCTTCACAGATGAAAGCAGGTTCACACTGAGCACATGTGACAGACGTGACAGGGTCTGGAGACGCCTTGGAGAACGTTCTGCCTGCAACATCCTCCAGCATGACCATTTTGGCAGTAGGTCAGTAATGGCGTGGGGTGGCATTTCTTTAGGGGGACACACAGCCCTCCATGTGCTCGCCAGAGGTAGCCTGACTGCCATTAGGTACCGAGATGAGATCCTCAGACCCCTTCTGAGACCATATGCTGGTGCGGTTGCCCCTTGGTTCCTTCTAATGCAAGACAATGCTAGACCTCATGTGGTTGGAGTGTGTCAGCAGTTCCTGCAAGACGAAGGCATTGGTGCTATGGACTGGCCCACCCATTCCCCAGACCTGAATCCAATTGACCACATCTGGGATATCATGTCTCACTCCATCCACCAACACCACATTGCACCACAGACTGTCCAGGAGTTGGGGGATGCTTTAGTCCAGGTGTGGGAGGAGATCCCTCGGAGACCATCCTCCACCTCATCAGAGCATGCCCAGGCATTGTAGGGAGGTCATACAGGCACGTGGAGGCCACACACACTACTGAGCCTCATTTTGACTTGTTTTAAGGACATTACATCAAAGTTGGATCAGCCTGTACTGTTTTTTTCCACTTTAATTTAGAGTGTAACTCCAAATCCAGACCTCCATGGGTTGCTAAATTTGATTTCCATTGATAATTTTTGTATGATTTTCTTGTCAGCACATTCAACTATGTAATGAACCAAGTACTTAATAAGAATATTTCATTCATTCAGATCTAGGATGTCTTATTTTTGTGTTCCCTTTATTTTTTTGAGCAGTGTATATAGGGCTTGTCAAGATTACAAACACCAAAGAACATTAAAGATGTTTAACAATGCCTAAAGTATACGAAGTATATGTTTTCTCCAATTTAACACAATGAAAGCAATCTTCTACTTCCTTATAATTTGTTGCTCAGTCACCAAGCCATGTGCAAGCCCTTGCAATCCATTTACCACAGTGTGCCAGGCCATCTCATCATCCATTGTCTCCCAAATGCCCCTGAAACCCATGCCCACTGTGTTGATGACACTATTTAACTATCTCATCCTCTGTCATCCTCTTCTCTTTTTACCTCCAATGCTTCCTTATAGGCTTCCACATACATTACATTCCATAGCCTATAAGAAAGAAATCATTTTCTACATCTTGTCTCCAAATGCACACAGGAGCCTGTTCTGACCCTTTTCACAGAAAGTATAATATATTTTTTTTGAAGCTGCTCTTCTTTCTGGTAGACTTTATTGAGTTTGAGATTAAAATTGTCAACATAATTCAGTTAAAGATCTGATAGCATCCAATGATTGATTTACTATTCATGTTACTTACCACTGTGAGCAACTAAGTGAGCTGCAAAAAATTGACAATGTAGGGCATGCTTGGGCAAGTTTAAACGGCCATTAAACTATGAAGTTTAAGTGCTATGGATTATTTAAATTGACCAACAAGAGAATTATGGCATCTAGAATTATTTGATGAAAAGAAGTGCCGTGAACAAAATAAAATACTATTAGCTTGTAATTGTACTCAGTGGAAAAAAAATCTATATATGTGGTCACTAAGGATTGGCAACAACTATATTGTACATAATTACTTGTACAGAGATGAATAAAATTGAACAATCAATCATATTTGATAAAGCACATCTAAAGAAATCAGATTATCAGCACAGTTGCCCAAAATATATTTTTTTAAAAAGGAAAGGATAATTATTGTCACTTAATGATTTCAAGATACATTTATTTATTTAACAAGAATATATGGCTGCCTATCTCACACACCAGTGACCCCAAGTAGTTCACTTTAAAAATCTTCAACAAAATACAACACATACACATCCCAAGGCAGCACAACACAATCTGGTCAATTATAGTTGAGGCTCATCAATACCCAAAACTTTTAAAAAAATTTGTTCATTGTTGCATAAAGCAAAAATGTTAAATAAAATTAAAGAGGAATTAACATTTCCTAGATTCCATTTATATAAAGCCGATTCTAACACAATGGTCTGTAGAAGAGGGTTGTTTGCAGTTGAAGGCAATAGAGTTAAAAGAAGACATATCCCCCCAAAGATCACAAGTTTTGAAAGAATTTTTTTTTTTAAATATAGTTTATTAATTTTTACAATTAAAACCAGTCACAATACATACACAAATAAGCAAAAGAAAGAAAGAAAGAAAAGAAAGAAAAGAGAAGAGGAAGAGAGGGAAAGGATTTTAAGAAAAGAAAGAAAGAAAGAGGTTACAGGATTAAAAGTATTCTTATTTTAACAGTTTGCAAGATCTTCTTTTGTTTTCATCACCTTAACTTGTGTCATATAACCACACCTGTTTTTAACTTATATTGCTACCTCGTTATTATGTATTGATACTTTTCTTTTATGCCTTATAATATATTATTTATCTTTGGTCAATCCAATTATACCAACAATTCCAGCTGTCATAGTATAGTGAAGTGTCTTTGTTTTTTAGCGCCAAAGTCAATTTATCAATTTCTGCGCATTTTGAGATTTTTTCAATAATCATTTCTTCTGATGGAATTTGGTGTTGTTTCCAATGTTGACCGAAGGCTAATCTGGCCGCTGTTAAAATGTGTATTGTTATGTATTTGGTTTTTTTGGAAATTTGCTTATCAAAAATCCCTAGTAGGAAGGACTCTGGTTTGTATTCGATCTGCTCTTTGGTGATTTCTTCCAACCAAGTTTTGATTTTCTTCCAATACTTTTGGGTTTCTGCACAGGACCACCACATATGGAAAAAGGTTCCTTCTTTTTTCCTACACTTCCAGCAATGCGGACTCATGTTGGGGTGCATCTTCGCTAACCTCGAAGGGGGGAGATGCCATCTATAAAACATTTTATAAAGATTTTCCTTGTATGCTGCCGATTTGGTAATCTTATTGTTTCTGCCCCAAACTTTCTCCCATTCCGCTAATGTGATGCTGCGCCCTACGTTCTTACTCCAAGCAATCATATTTCCTTTTACGATTTCTTCTTCTAGTTCTGTTTCTAATAAGTAGTTATAAAATTTTGTTATGTTTTTTTTATTTGATCCTAATAAAATTTTATCTAACTGTTGCAGTTTGTTATTAATTCCGAATTCTTTTTTGTCTTGTTTATATCTGCTTTGAATCTGAAGATAAACCCATTGATCAATTTTATGTCCTTGCTCTTGAAGATCCAGCCTCGGTTTCAAATTTCCTTGTGGGTCTAATAAGTCTTTGTATTTAATCATTTTGGTAAGCTCCAAATTGTTTGGGTGAATCATTGCCTCCATTGTTGAAATCCATACTGGTACTTTTGTATAATGTTTTTTCCTTATTTTCCTCCAAATTGTTAATAGTGCGTCTCTAATTAAATGTCTATGGAAATATTTTTGACTGGTTTTCCCTACGTCCCATAGAAAGGCGTGCCACCCCCTTTGTAAATCATGGCCTTCTAGAAATAGTATTCTTTTATTGGTTAAATTCACCCAATCCTTCAACCAAACTAATGAGGTGGCCATATGGTATAACTCCCAGTTTGGAAATGCTAACCCTCCCCTGCTCTTCATATCCTGCATTGCTTTTACATTTATTCTGGGTTTTTTCCCTTGCCAAATAAATTTCAGGGTTGTTCTATTGAGTTCTTCAAAAAACTTTTTATGTAATTTAATTGGGATCGTTTG